CTTGCTCTCAACTAGTTTTATTAGAAAAAAAATTGTGTATCTATAAAATATTTTTTCAATTGATAAAAACTGGCGAAGACTGACCGGCCCAACGGATATAATCGATTCAGACTGGTTACAATTCTGCCTTATATATCTTATATCTCGAAGAGACTCTGTTCAGAACTTATGGATTTTTCTAATGAGGATAGTCTAATTGAGTTCTCTGTATGTCCAAAGTTTCAGATGAAAATTCAAAAATATGGATTCATTTATCAAACGCAAACAGAAATAAAAATGTGCTGAACATCTACTATGGAATTATAATACACATATTGCTTGTATGAACATTAAATAAAATCCTCTAGATTTTGATTAGAATTAATGATTAGAAACGACTCGTGTGATGTATATTAATATAAATTCTGTTAAAAATATATATTTTATAGACTATAATTAATTAGGTTTGACGATATCATCCGCTAATTTCTTAGTATTGTCTAGTTTTGACCTTTATTCTTATTGGTCCTATTTCACAAACGATTCAAATTTTTTTTTAAAGATCCGGACACTTTTGTAGAACTTTGATTGTTATTTTCTTCTATTCTTGTTCTAAGCGGCTTCATAAGTATACAATCGAAAAGACAACACGAGAGTACCATATTACTGTTAATATTAGCATTAATTAATACTTATTTTGATGCTCAATAATTAGTATGGCAGTGAAACCTAATGCTTTGGTATTATTTCGCATTAAAATTATTTCATACAAAGATCTTAGCATTAAATTAGCATTATTTTGAAATCTAATATATCTGATGTCCGCAAATAATTCCTTAGTTGTTCTCTTATTAAGAACTTTTGAGCTTAAACTATCAGAAATGTAGTTGTATGTATTAGTTATATCAGAAATAAAAATAATTCTAATTTAATGCTAAGACCTTTGGATTATCTACTTCAAATGTCAACTTATAAAAAAGAATTAGGCTTAATTTTAATACAAAAGACTCAATTTCTGACAGACTCAAACATCAACGATGAACTGGACAGCTCAGTATCTTATGGTTTTTTGATATATTGTAAAGGATAATTTTTTTAGTAATCTATGAAATTTTTAATGATCATTACTTTCTAGCTTTTGTGTCGTTCTTCAGCGAATTTTCTTCGAAAAAATTACGATCATCTGTCGAACTGAGGGAGTTTTAACTATATGCTCTTTTAATCATAATTATTAGCCATTTCTTCTACCACTTACAACATTTTCTTTAATTCAATATAAAACATTTCGATAGTTAAAGGAGAATCTTATTCTACCTTTTTTTTTCTAAATTTGTTAGGAAAATGTCGATTGAATACGTTTCTGTGTGGCAGCAAAGAAGTATTTTGATATTTTCATTACTGATAGAGTTCAAAAAATTTCTATCATCTTATGGAGTGAGAAATTTTATTTCGTATGAAATAATCTATCGATTTTAATCAAAAGTCATATTGTTTCTATGATGGATCAAATATGTTTGAAGATACTAGTGTTGTTTTTTGTTGTTAGCGGTATGGCGATATATAGTTTCTAGACCTGAACTTTAACAATTTTATTGTTCACAGGAAGGGTGATACGTTTAGAGAGAGAGTCACTTTTATTAAAAAAACAGCATAGAAAGGAGAGTATTTTCCACATTTCGATTGAGAAAGTTGAGTTTCATCAAAAATCAACTTCAAATTCCCAACTAATCTGCAAAATAACACCAGAATACATATTTTTCCCTCTTGAAAGAAATATTTCTCCATCACGACATCATCTATAAGGTAACACAGGATAAAACGTTTGGAGTAAATGATTGAGTAAAAGTATAGTGAGATTTTTATACAAAACATTTATTTTTGTCGAAACTCAACTTTCTACAGTAAAATTTTGGAAAACATTTTCCTTTCTATGCTGTTTTTTCTTTATAAAATTGACTCTCTCTAAACGTATCGCCCTTCCTGTGAACAATAAAAGTGTTAAAGATCAGGTCTAGAAACTATATATCGCCATACCGCTAACAACAAAAACAGAACACTATTATCTTCAAACATATTTGATCAATCATAGGAACAATATGATTTTTGATTAAAATCGATAGATTATTTCATATGAAATAAAATTTCTCATTCCATAAGATGACAGAAATTTTTTGAACTCTATCAGTAATGAAAATATCAAAATACTTCTTTGCTGCCACACAGAAACGTATTCAATCGGCATTTTTCTAACAAATTTAGAAAAAAAAGGCAGAATAAGATTCCCCTTTAACTATCGAAATGTTTTACATTGAATTAAAGAAAATGTTGTAAGTGGTAGAAGAAATGGCTAATATTATGATTAAAAGGGCACATAGTTAAAACTCTCTCATTTCGACAGATACTCGTAATTTTTCGAAGAAAATTCGCTGAAGGAGAATACAAAAATCAGAAAGTAATGATCATTAAAAATTTCAACAGTATTTTGCATAATAGTTTTGGGAAAAGTGAGCAGATTGAAATGAAAATTCGACGATTGTTAAAAGTATTGGTCTTTATGATGCATAAAAAAAAAACATGAAGTACTAAGCTGTCACGTCATTGTCGATACACTAGAATGAATGATTTTTTTAGATATTCACTCTCAAGGATTAGCATTCTTTTTAATACTAATGCTAATATACCACTCCTAGAAACAACAAACAAGAAAAAAAGGAATGCTGTTCTCTTTCCTTTGTTTGTTCTGAAAAAATAATCAAGTAATAGCATTCCTAGATATACAAATGCTTAAATTCAAGTCATTACCTCTTCTTTTCTAGAAGATTAACATCTGCATACAAAGAAAAAAAAACAATAATTATAAGTGATGTCTGAAGAAAAATTCCATTTTGATAAAACTACCAATTCATTGCCCATAATTTTGAAATCAAGCATAAAAATAAGAGAGAAAAGTTTGATGAACACAAAATAATCTAATAAATATGCTGATATTCCTATTCCATGAATAAACAAAAAAAAAAGAGAAGCTACTTAGGTTAATAAACAATTGCATCTAAAGACATGTGTCATGAAGACAGCCATGAAATATGACATTAACTGCCATACTGACAGTAATTGATACAATTCATATATCAATTTAGTCTGACGTAGAAAAAAATCGACTTTTATTTTCTGGATAAACGGTGTCACATTATTCATGAACTTGTGCAAGATATGCATCAATTACAAATTTCTATTATAATAAGCTTTTATGACTTGTTCTAAATTCAACCGAACAAATAGAATTGCCTCTTCAAATGATCAGTTCTGTGTATATAAGAGTATCAGAATCATATTATATTTAAAATGGAAATAATTTTAATATTATTTATTAGTACGATGAGTTGCTCGCAAATCGATTGATTACTTTGTGAACATGATCAACCTTTTTTATGTTTGCTAGTGACAAGGTTAGGTAGAACTTCAAAAAATGGAAGGAAAAATGAAATTTTTCAGTTTCTCTTAGCCATACTCGCAACTGAAGTTGTTCAAACCGAACATTCTTTAACTATCACAATTGAGCCACACAAATTATAAATAATCTCAGTGAAAATCATGGGATCTCTACAGTGGTACACAGAATCGTTACTTGTCAATACGTTACGCCTCATCAGTGATAGAAAGATCGAATTATTGAGACCTGATACTAATTGTGTGATTTTTGTTCTAAATAATCTTTGATTTTTGCTATTCAATACAACATGTTATTATTGATAACTATTGTAGAAATCTTTACAGTAACGATTTTTGTACAAAGGTTTTCGTAAGAGACAAAAAAATAGGTTCTTTATTTTAGTGAAAAGTTCATATCTATTGGTCGACTTTCCGAAAAAATCAGCTTTGATTACTTTAAATACGTTGTCATTTCTAGCAGTTTTTACGAATATCTATATAACTCAATTCTATGCATAGTGTCTTGTATTTATGTCGTCGTGTATAAATCTTCGATTCTTTATGAATCCTATTGAGAGCGTGTGAATGTGGGATGTGAGAGTGAACCGAAGTTCCTTAGCTGTTGATACACATTCACACATCTGAAGGGAATCCACCTGATCAGTTGAATTTTTCTTCTTTTAGAATGTTAAAATGAGAACTAAGTAGATATTTTCTGCTATTTGTTTTTGTTTGTTTATGCATCATAATAAATCAGTTTAGTTGATGATCAACTAGCATAAAGATTATATTTATATGCCCAGGTCTATCTTTAAACAAAATTGGCAAAATGAAACAAAGTGAATATTATTTTTCAATGAAGAGTTGGAGAAGAATCAATTTCAAAGCAATTCATTCTCTTATCATAATTACTGACATCACTGTTTCACAACTCAATAGCGATTTAATTTTTTATTCTATATCATGGTTCATAGGTAATTTCTTTGTAGAACTTCATCCACAGACTACATAAGTAATATTTATCGTTCTGTTCATTGTTGTATAAATTATTTTTATTTCAATGATAGTTTCTATTCAAGAATCATGACAATACAAAGTTGGAAACTTCCAAAGAATAGTTTTATCATCAATCTTTTTTTTTGTTGATGAAGCTGTATAATTTCGTTATTAGACACAGGAGACAAATAAAAAAGGATAATTACATTTTTTTTTCCTTGTTTGTATTTCAAATAGAAACATCAAAGAAATACATAATTATGTTTACGTATACTTATATTCATGTCACTACCAATTTCGTTTGTCAGACCTAAAAAAGTTCATTAAAAATGTCAATTTTGAGTTATGAGTTCAAGAAAAAAAAAAATTTTTAGTAAAAATATGACTATTAGTTTGGGTGCAGTCGAAAAGCAATTTGAAAGAAAACTCTTTTTTTAGAAAAAAATTCTACTAGACTTTATTAAAATAGTAAATTATCTTGTATGCATAAATGATGCAATATCTAATCAATTAACAAAAAAAAAAAACTTTACAGTTTATTTTCTAATTATGATATTGATAAATTTCTATTTGACGTCGATGTACACATAGTTTATCTAAGGACAACCTACATACAATTCACCGTCTAGATTGTCATTGACCGGAACACCAGCATTAATTGCAACAATCCATTTTTCAATTTGACCTGGCATTCGAAGATAAAATTGACGTGTCTTTTTTACATAAACTGTGTCACATTTTCCATCACCAAATCCAAAGTAATTATTAAGATTCGGATTTTCATCATTATTTATCGTTTCTATTCGTCCTAAATTCAGTCGAACACATATAATCGCTTCTGCTGACGAAGAACCTCCTCCTTTACATGAACGTGTAAAAAAAATACTTTGTTTAAGATGTAAATAATCTTTAAACTTTGTATCAGTATTATCTCCATATGGAAATCCATTTTGAGCAATTGCTAATGCTTCTTGTTTATTTGTTCGATAAAAGGCAATAAAAGATTTTCTTTCATCAACTGGCAATGTTCCTAAGTCAATGTCATGTTCAGATTCAAGTGTATGATACAATAAATGATGATAAAGACTGTATGATTTACAATTAATTCCTTTTTCACATCTTGAATCTCGAAATTTGTCAGCATTTTGATCATTTAATAATGAATGATGAATAAAACCAAGATGACGTCGATGAGTTTTTTCTATTCGCTTTGTTAAACCAGTACTACTAATTGCGTTTCTACTCTTTATATTTCTTGTATCAGTTGGATTGTAAGTCCATAAACGAAAAAAATGAATAAATTCAGTAGTAATAAGCAATATAGATGATACTAAAGCAAAAGCGGCAATGACAGTATAAGCAGTACATTGTGATTTGAAACGAGCAGAACAGGAAGCACCAATAATGAAACAAATAAATCTTAAGATAAAAGAACCAACAATAACAATAACACGCATTAGTAAAATGGTTTGTGGACGTTCATCATGACAATTGAGTCGAATACATGTCATCGTTCCAAAACGCCATAACCATTGCAAAGAGCTTTGTCCATGAACTAATGGCTTAACACAATGATGCATTATTACATAAATAATATTACATATTATTATTGGAACTGATGCAATTAAATCAAATAATATAATCGGTATAAGAAAACTCTTTGTGTCCGAAACATTTTTTGAAATATCATTACTTACGAGACTCAATCGAATAATAAAAAATATCAGATCAATTGTATGAAAAACAATCATAGTTTTGTATCGTGTTCCATCATTATAACAATTTATTGGTCTACGACAATCACAGTTCATTTTTCAAATAATAGCTTTTCTTTCTGAAATGAATGCATTGATTATTTCATTTCATATAATATAGGTTTATTGGGTTCTTTTATTTTATTACCATTGGTAAAGTCGCAAAAAGAGTCAGCATCGGAGACTCTTTTTTACCAACTTTCTCCAGAAATAAAATAATTACTATTTTTCTTTCTTTCTGCTACGAAAAGAACGACTATAAAAACAACTTCTGAGTCAATATTGCTCTTCAGCGAAACATACCAACTAAAGAAAAAACAATATGAAAGATGCTCGTTGGAAAAAAATTCATGCAATACATGTTTGTTGGAAAGAAAACAATGCGAAACATTATTGTTGCAATCTTTATGACATAACTTTGTAGCATTTTCAAAGCAGGAGTCGTTTTTCATTGTTCTTCAGTATAAATTCTCCGCACACTTTATAATTCAAATTGAAAAAAAAATGATGTTGTATAGAGTGGTAAAGTGAGGTAGGTTGACCTACGCGATTACAATTTTTTTTTATGCACCTTGCCATATCTATCTGATCTCTCAGTTTCTTTTTATCACTTGAAAAGATATATTCTGTGATATATCAGTTTTTTACATCGAAGAATACACGAGTAGTCTTCTAAGATTTAGGTAACAAAGTGTATAAGAAAACGTGTCAGGAGAGTAGTAAAAATTCAAAATTTTTGCTAGTTTTACTGGGCAAAAAGAGATAATTTTCAACTACGGCGAGGTGATACACCCGTTCTTTGTAGAACCTGATATACCAACATACTAAGAGCTCATAAGTCAAAGAGGAACTATAGACATGCACAAAAGTGTGCAAGAAGAATCAATAGAAATAAAAGAGACTCAGTATTAGTCATTATAATGCCTAGTTGCTTTGAAGTCGATATGAATCAGATTTCTTATTGGCACAAGTATCACATCTGAGAGAAAGTTATAGTGAGAATGAATTTTGGCTTTTTACTGTGATCAGTTAATGGCTTCAGACATTTTTTAGTTTAAAAAAATTATTTATCTCATTGAAATACTTCGAATTCAATTATCTGCATGTGCACCTTAGGTCAGACAGGATACTGATAAATGACTATCAAAGAAGATTTTATTGTTTAGCCTTCATCTTTAATAGTAGCCAAATTTCATTCTCGAAAATATTTTATTTTGTGAGGGGTCTCGACTAGGCATCTGCAAGATCACTTTTTTTCGGTCCCGGTGGTCCGGTCCCGGTGAAGGCTTTTTTAGTCCCGGTTCCGGCTGAAATAAAATTTTAGTCCCGGGACCGGGACCACCTTGCAGATGTCTAGTCTCGACTAAGAGATATTAAACCCTGTAATCACGGGATCACAGTCGTTGCATGCGTAATAATACATATGTTGACAATGGATCCGATATGAGATTAAGTCTGGATTCTTTCTACTATTATCTCTAGGACTTTAACGTTTACAACGGTACTCTTCATGTAGAAGTCGCATGGTTTCATTTTGATGAACTTGAATTTCTCTACGACAGTTACACTTTTATCTCTACTAAAATCTTTTTCATAATATTGTTCAATTCGAATTCATGCAAAGTATACGAATTGAATTCATAATACGAATCTCATTATTTTAAAAAATGTTTCTTAAGTTCATGAAATAGTTGTTTAATACTTTATTGTTTCATTTTTCACACGTATTGTACAATATTGCAACAGTTATGTACACAACTAATATTTTTTACCATAAAAATGACATTTTCATCATATAACTATCTTTTTCTGTTATTTATTTGAAAACTTGTAATGAAGGAATATAGAGTTATTTATTATTTTAACTTGACTATTTCATGGATGAGTTTAACATTTGAACTTTTATATTTTGTAACATTGATCTATTTCAAGTTAAAAGAAATTTTCATTTATTTAGATATTTCTTAATAAAATTGAATGTGGTTAAAAGACGATTTTAAACGATATCATTATCTTGTGATACTCCATACAATCTGCACTATAGCATTTATTATACGTTTTATTGTTTTATGTACGGATTTATCATCGGCTAAAAGTGATTCAATAGCTTTCCCTGTGATAATATTATTATTGGAATTAGGATCATCATTTATCACTTTTATTGCAAATTTTATTTATATTTTTCTTCGTTATCTTGGACCAATTTTATTTGAATCTGATCGTGAAAAAGTTGGATGTTGTTCTCAATCATTTGCTTGGAATTTATCAACATTGACATGTTTTCGTTGTGAATGTTATCGAGAACATCCTCAACTTGTTTTAATAACTCGATTTTGTATTTTAATTTTATTTGAAATACTGAGATTTATAGCATTTATACTTGCTTGTGTATGTGCAAATAGATATGGACCAATAGGTTTAGGTTATTCGATTTTGGCTGCATTTTCACTTGTTCCTGCTGTAATTTTATTAGTTGTTGAATATCTTCATCATCATCGTTTATGGTTTCATTATCGACCAGATACTTCATCAAAAGAAAAACCTGAATACATCAAAGAACACTTACGTTTCTTACCAATTGCAATGACAAATGATCAACAAACAAGTCATTGGCAAATTTCTCGATGTGATAAAGAAAAAGATTGTTTGTCAAGAAATCTGTATCATGTTATTATGTATCATTCAGGAAGCACACGTTATCCACCTGAACAAACAATGGATAATCAAATTGTTGTTGGATTTCATCAAACAAGTCATGCTGCTGCTTATTCTATTGCTAAGACACGTTTGGAACCATCGAAAAATGGATGGATCGGACCAGGCATATATTTTGCCACATCACTTAATCATACAGAATTTAAAGCCAATCAATTTGGAGCATATATTTGTGCAAAAGTAGATTTAGGTAAAACAAAACGCATCACTGATCCCAATAATTGGTCTTCAGGAGATCAATGTGACACAGTTTATTATGAACATCCTCGTAATGCTGATGAATTTTGTGTACGAAATTCACAACAAATCCGTTCTTGGATTATAGTTATTGATCAAGATCCGAATGTACTTTTCTTACAAGAAAAAAATAATAAACCCTTACCATCAGGAAAATATGTTGAAGATCGATTAGAAGATATTGTTTATCAAGGATGTTTATTTTAATTATTCAGAAATTATTCAACTGTGAAATACTTCTTTCCAAAGAAACATTAATAAAACATAAATGTCCTTTGAACTTGTAATCAAAATAATAAAATACTCTTCTCATTTGTAGTGTAAATAGAAATAACATGATTTTTTTCATTGTTAAAACAAAATGATGAATCAATTTGTAGACATACCAAATAATTATTCAAGGTTGATAACGATCTGTTTATTATAAATCGCCATTATACTAATGATTCAGGCCTTTGAGAAATGTTATAAATTATAAAATTTGTTTGTAAGATCAAGATAGCCAATTATGTTAACTTTCGAATTACTAGATAGACTTTCATCTTGATTTCATTTACGAAGAAAACACATACACCATAAGAATCACGACTAACATTATGGTTTAAAAAGAACTATTTGTTTACATGTTTTGTAAAGCTTCTAGAATGAAATATTCGATTGATAAAACATCGTAAAAATGATAACTTCTGACTGCAATAAACGATTCCGATAACAGTATTTTCGACGGTCAGGAGTCATAAATGTCGAGCAACTACTATTACCATCGGTTTAGATAAAGTGCGGAAGATGAAAACGAAAGAAAGGAAAAAGAATGAGAACATATACACCTTGCTTTTTCGTATATTCAACAAAGATCGTGCCATATAATTATATAATGCAATCATATACTGTTGAAGAGAGTGACTAAAGTCTTTATAGAAAAAACTTTAATAGGAGATGAACTAATGTTGTCATGTCACAGTATTTTGTGATTTATTAACTAAACTCATGAATCTATCTATCATATCCGTATAATCAGTAAAGGATCTCTTCTCGTTTTCGTACTGAAGATGGTGTAGAGTTTTTAAAATTCTGTTGATCTTCATTAGGGATATCTTTAGAGGAATGATAAGATGAAAATACATGTTGCATATATAATTGTATATTTCAAAAATCAGTAGAGTTTTTCACATTTTTCGTTTGTACGCACGACACTTAGTTTTTATCTCCACACATGAATGAGTGTCTATAATAAAAGATATATTTTCGACTTAATTTGAGTGTAACAATCAAATTTGCTTCATGACTTTTATTTCGTGCTATAAAAGAGCACATTTTTGTGAAACAAACTGTTATATCGATGTTTAATTTTTTTTTTATTCTTGAAATTCTTCTCGATATCGAAATAAGTTAAGTTTGAACAAAACGAATTATTGGCGTGTGGATCTATTGTTACATGTGATGTCAGCGTACTTGACTGGACTTGTCGTGGAAATACTGAAATACTTAACGAAAGAATACTCTTTTCTCTCGATACTCTTAGCAAGAACGATATTGAACGAAGTGTAAATACTACATTACATGGTGCAGTGTATGGGGTGGGTTATAAATAACACTAATATAAAAAGAGTGACATATCTCCGCTTCGAATGAAGTTTTATGAGTCTATGATACATAAAAACCATTTAATGTTATCAAATTCATACGTATAAATTCTGTTGTTTTTCTAAATAAATTCGATAAAAAGCAGAAAAAAAACTTTTAATAAAATGAATTCTAGTTAGAACGCAAAACAATTAAAAAAAGATCTTATACGGTACTATACTAATTGGTGGATCTGTTTCTGTGTCATTTTTTCACACATGAAGACAGAAAATTTTTTGATTGAGTAGAAACAAAAATGATCTATTTTCTTTCTCATAATGAGTTTTTCTAGTAACATTTTAAAACCGTTAAAAAGACAAAAGAAAAATGTCTTATTCTTTATTTTTATACATCCACAAGGTTATGACTTCGCTGTAGAATTATGTTAAATAAAATACATTTATGTTATCGTTAGTTTTATGTGTTTATTTATTTCAAATGAAAATTGATCTTTTCTTGATTGAAATCAAATAATGGAACTG